TCTTAAAGGCTTATAAATACATGGTCTTTTCCAACACCTTTTGATGATTTTGCCACTAGTTTACCTAAACAATTAAGTTCTGTTATATCATTCACTGAAGAAATATAGTGGTAATATAAAACATTTTTTCCAAATTAAATTTTACTTACTTTTAAGTTGACCCCTAATTTAAACAAGCTTCTAGAGAAGAGTTAATAGGCAATTCTTAAGAACCAGATAAATTGAAATTGCAAACTGCAAATCTTTTTTTTTTCACTTTTGAACTTCACTGAAACTACTTTCAAACTAACTTCAGTTCTTTTTCTCTAATCAGTGAAATTACCTTTCCCCAGGGGCAGCTAGGTGGCGAAGTGGAGAGAGCACCAGCCTTGAAGTCAGGAGGACTTGAGTTCAAATCCGGCCTCAGACCAAACACTTGACACTTACTAGCTGTGTGACCCTGGGCAAATCACTTAACCCTAATTGCCTCACAAAAAAAAAAAAGAAATTACCTTTCCCCCTTGCACTACAACAATAAATTGGTCATTCTCTAGAGAGAGTGATAAAAGGTCTAAGTGCATTTCCATGTAATTTTCACAAAGTTTTATTCTCATTTTTCCTTAAAACAAATTCTATGGAATGATACTCCAAAACTCACTAAAATGTGTCAGCATTTATAGAAACACTCAAATCACAATTTGGAACTTTATAGTAAACAAATTTAGTCTCTAATTAGTTTTACAATTCCATAAATTCCTGCAGACTGGGAACAGATTCTCCTTCTTCATATCTGTGTCTCTTGTCTGTCTCCTTAACTTGGTCAGAGTTAAGAAGGCAGAGAGATTTTCTTTCTGAGGACTCTGAAAAGTTCCTCAGAAAGGTTTTAATTTTTTACATTCTTTTTCCTGGTGGTTGATCAGGCACTTAAAAGCACAGACAATATGACAAGAGAGACACATAGAAGAAAGTTTTCATCAAAAAGTCAGTGGACACAATTTTCTCAAAGCAATCTCAAAGCTTTTCAGTTGCAGTAATTGAAAGCCCCTTCTTCAGGTCAAATATGGTACCCATCAAGATTTTTATATATTTTAGACCAATCCTTGCATAATATGAGAGCTCTATTCTTAGTCATCCCCTTCTGAATGGGAAGTTTATCCTATTCCCAGGCCAAACTTCTCTAAGAAGGTATCCATCAGCTTACTAGAGCCAGTTACCACGGCTCCCTGATCAGGGACCACTTACCTAACCATCTGGATTTTGGTTTAGGAGGATGGGGAGGTCTGGGGATAGGCAGTCCTTTGATGAGGGAGTCTGTTGGTAGAAATCTCAGACACTTAGGGTTTTACTTTCTCTGAGGTCCAGTTACATGGAGTCTCACAGTCTCAGTCATTTTGTGTTCACTGAAACTGTTACAATGGATTAAAAGAAACCAAGTAATTACATTCAGGCAACAATTTATTTGTCAGTGCATGTGGTTGCAAATCAAACCAGGTCCTTGGCTACCAAGACACGGATCTGGATTGTTTTTCAACTGGATGCATGGTCAAATAAATTTACCTGAATACAACTACTCGGTTTCATTATTCCACTGAAACAAAACTGAGAAATTTACATTTTATTCTGGAGGCAATAGCGAGCCACTGAAGGCTTTTAAGCAGGGAAGTGACAAGTCAGACAGGAATATAGTATTTCAGGATTAAATTTCACCTTTCTAGTTTTGGCCCACTATCCTAACATAATGATACTTTCCAGAATGTTAAGAATCCTCTGCCCCAATATAAATAAGCTTACTATACATACCTTCATCTAAGTATTTATAAGAATATTGAACATTCTGAACAGCTCAGACCAATCCCTGGGGCCCCCCACCAGACACCTTCTTCTAGGAGGTTGAAATCAATTGTTTTGTTGCTGGCATCAAGTTTAGAGGTAGGTTGGGCTCTGAAATGGGAATGGGAACTCAGGTATAAATCTGCCATTGACAGTCAATGAGACCTGAAGTAAATTATGGCAGAGAAATGACAGTGGAAGTTCTGGTTCCTGCAAGAGACCACACTAGACCATGTTTTAGATTGTCAACTCTGAAAACAAATGACCAATGAGTCACAGAGGTTATGTACCTGCTATTAACTCTAAAAATACCTAAGAGCTCATACAGGTTATCACAATCACAGTTAACTCTAAGAAATAAAATAATATAAAAACAAAATAAAACCAAAGAGCTAACAGTGGTCATAAGCAAAAAACCTTTCTTTATTTTGCTGGAAAAGGGAAACTAGACACATGTGCCAAGGTGTCCTCTAGGACGAGACCAGCTTTAGTGAGGCCAAACCTTGATACATATATTAGTAGTTACTCAGTGAGCTGTAGCCATGACAATAAGGGGTAACAGCAACAATGAGACAAGTTTGATTCATAGCAGGGCTTTGTGATGGGAACGTAGTTGCTGTAGGTGTTTATCTGGGCTCAGGGACCACCCGGAACTGGTGCAAAACAATTCTAGGATTTTGCTATGGCAGAGTTCATTCAGAGGGAGAGCACAAAGGATTGTTGTTATGCCAAGCTCAAGGCACAGCTTGCTTATTGAGCCTTAGCTCTGGAAAACAGGTGTCTCCTAATAGTAAAAAGAGAGATGTAAAAAGAAAGGGGCAGTCTTGGCATGGGGATCCTGACAGAATGGAGTACTGTGGGAGAGTGATACCCCTAGAGAGCTGAGTACTGATTCTAAGGGATATATGATCAACCAGTTGCAAGGAAGATGGGTCATTCTCACCTTCCTGTGATAGCCAATAGTGGAATTTGTCTCCTACCTACTCTTATTCCCCTATATTCTCCCCACTCTGCCTCCTTTCTCCACAGCTCTGTAAGTTCCTAATCTCCCCATTTTCTACACCAGATGTAAACTCCTTGGGCTATTATAACTTGTCTATAGGTTATATATCTATATATCTATAACTATCTTTATTATAACCTATAACCCAGAACAGGGGCTACATAGTGCCATTGGGAAAATTCCCAATCACTCTAGTATACCCACACCCCATCTTTCATAGTTCTTCAAGGTAGCTGTAGGCACCAGGGTGGTGACCTGTGGATAAGAGGCTGACCTTTCACCTTTTCATTTTTGGTAGGACAGAATGAGTTGCACAGAATGAATAGGAATACATGGGTTGCAATAGGCATCACAGATCTTACTATATTATCTCTCCTCCAAAATCACATCCCACTTCTGAACTTCCCAATTTTTATCCAATCTATCCAGATTGAGGGCACCACCATCTTTCCAGTTATCTAGGTTTGCAATCTCAGTCATCCTGGATGCCTCATTCACCTTCATTCCATATATCTACTCAGTTTGCTGAGTGGGTTGTCAGACCTACTTCTATATCTCTAGCACACTCCACTCACAGCTACCACCCTAGTTCAGGATCTCAACACCTTTCAGCTAGTGCAATAACTTTCTAAATGGTCTCAATGCCTCATGTTTCTCCCCTCTCCAATCTATGTACCACACAGCTGCCAAAGACTCCTAAAATATAGGTCTGACTATGTTATTCCTATTCAGTAAATGCTAGTGGCTCCCTGTTGATGCCTTGGATCAAATATTATTTTCCCTTTATCTCATTCTCTTTAATTATGATTTTTGCATGTTTTACAATTTGCATAATGATAGTATAATAGAATATGTATATAATTTATAGATAAATATATACATATTGGGGGTTCATGCCCCCAAATCTTTTATGGTAGAGATGCATGATTAAAAAAGTTTGAAGACCATGCTTCTTAACATTTCCTTCCGAAAAGAAATAAGACTAGTCTGAATTCTTTTTAAGGAATGAACATTGGGGGTCCTAGGTGGTTCAGTGGATACAGTGCTGGGTAAAGTTAGGAAGACTCATCTTCCTGAGTTTAAATCTGGTCTCAGACACTTACTAGCTGTGTGACCCTGGGCAAGTGACTTAACCCTGTTTGCTTCAGTTACTTATCTGTAAAATGAGCTAGAGAAGGAAATGTCAAACCACTCCAGTATTTTGCCAAAAAAAAACCCCCAAACAGGGTTACGAAGAGTCACACTCAACTGAACAACAATAATCTCTTCCCTTTCTAAGTTTTCACAAGCTATCTTTTTAATAACTCATTCTCTAATCATTAGACTGTGAGCTGCTTGAAGTAAGGACTGTCCGTTGCTTTTCTTTGTATCCTCTGCATTGAACACAGTGCCTGGCATATAGTAGGTGCTTAATAAATGCTTGTTGACTGACTACAGTTTTCTCAGGGATCAAAATGAAACTCTACTATCCTGTAGGTTATAGAATCTGCCTTCTTCTTCTTTGAAAATCTAAAAATTTGCCCATTTCCATTCTCTTGGCCACCATACCATTCTTCACTATTTCTTAAAGATACTTGTCTTTTGCTCAACAATTCTGTCTTTCAGTACTCTGAGTTGCAATTTGAATTCATTGATTAGGTGACTGAGTAACTTGAATTCATTGAGGCCAGCAATTTCTTCACTTATTTGGGGTTCCATTTCTTTCAAATTATTTTTTTTCCTCCCACTGATACCCTGAAGGTTTTCTCTACCTAGAGACCATTAGCTTCCTGAGTTTGGTGAGGCAAAATCATCCTGGCTAGGGCTGAATGAAGAACGTGGAGGGTGCTGAGGCTGGGCTGAGCAATGTCCGTTTGCCAAATTCACATCTTACAAGGGGAAAGAGGAGGGAGCGGTGCCCGATCCCCTCGGGTGCTCTTAGGTTGGAATCTGAGGGAGAAGGGTGAGAGACATTGTTTCTCCAGTTCAATTGGACTTGAGCTACAAAGTGTCCCCTGCACGCTGGGGGCTGGGAAGGGGCAAAGCAGCTGCGGGGGGAACCTTGCTGGCGGGGCCACCTTTTCCCTGCCCTCATCGGAAGGGGACTCGGGGGGCGGGGACCGGGCGGGGACCGGGCGGGGAAGGAGCGCGGCTCTGGGAGATGGGCGGGGACCGCCCGTTCTATAAAAGCCGGAGCCGCGGCCATGGCGAGGCCATTTGCATAGTACCAACTGTTCGAGTTTCACGCCGTATCCTTCCGGGCCGTCAGTGTCCCCGTCATGGCCGCGCTCAGCCAGGACCCGAACTTCCAGAAGCTAGTCCAGTGGCACCGCAAGCACGGCTCCGAGCTCAACCTCCGGCGCCTTTTTGAGGCCGACCAGGACCGCTTCAACCGCTTCAGGTGGGCGCAGGACTCGGGCCTGGGGGGGTGGGGTGGCAGGGCGTGGGCACTGTGGGCTGGCGGGCCGGGGGCTGGAGGCCGGCGAGGTGGGCAGGCTGCCCGCGGGCGTTAGCCCCCTGGGGGGTGTGGGGAGGGGTAGGTGCGCGTGGATGGGTGGGGGCTGATTACTGAGCCCCTCTGGAAGCAGTTGGAGGTGGGGGGGCCGAGAAGGAGCGATTCAGGGGCTCCCCGCCCTGCCTGCACGCCAGGATGAGAGCGGGGAAGGAGGGCGCAGGAGCTGCCTCCCTTTGCCCTTGACTCCTCCTTGCAGCGGGTACGTGCGGGGAAGCACACTGGGAAGGAGGCTAACTGTGATATTCGCACACCGGAGGCTAACTGTGATATTCGCCACCGGGAGAGCCGTGCGTGTGAGGCGGAAGTGGGGAGACAAGGGGGGGGGACAAGCAGTGAAAGAGACTAACTGTGCTATTTATACAGCAAGAGAGATGTACGTGCGGAGAGACACGCACTGAAGGAGGCTAACTGAGTGACATTCACACCGGGAGAGACGTGCACAGAGTCACCCACGGTGGGGGTGGGGTAGACAGTCACGCACCGTGATACACACTGGGGAGGGATTATCATGAACTGTGATAAAGTAGGAACAAATGGGGGATGGGGAAAATTACATACATCTATGCACAGACATGGGAATAGGGGAGATAATCACGTACTCACGGAGAGAATCACACACAGTGTGATGCACTTAATGGAAAGATAATCGGAAGCAGTGATTTACAAGGTGGGGGGACAGTCACCCACAGGGAAGAGAGATGGCTGCATGGGAGGCACAGTTATAGTCACGTTCCCTGTGACACACCCCAAGGAGCAAACAGACTCACATTCCCGCAGCGGTCTTCCACTGTTTTGGTTCCTGCCATACCCACCCAATGAATGTGCTTAGTCATGATGTGAAGCAGCCTTGTAACCCACTCCCAGCTCTTCCCACTTTTATCCCTTCACTTTAATTCTCCCATTTTATTTTCAGTTTTGAATTCTCCCCCTCCCCCTACCTGGCCCCAACCACTGAGAAGGCAAGAAACATTTCTCACTTGCCCATTTGCACCAGAGCTTTCATTCCTTTTATTGGGGGAAGGGTTATAAAAGGGAGGAGTCATCCCAGATTTCTCTGCCTCATTACCTTTAGTAAGTAGTGTTACAGGGGCCTGATGTGACACAGACCAAAAATCTTGCAAGTGATGTGATAAAGTCTAGTCAACAAGAATTTATTAAGCACTTAACTAGAACCCTGGCCCTGTGCTAAATGCTGGGGATATAAAGAAAGGCAAAAAATAGTATCCACTGTCAAGGAGCTCACATTTTCATGAGGGAGACAGCATGCAAATGACTATGTACATACAAGATATATATAATATAAAAATATAAAAAGGAAATAATTACTAAAAGGAAGGCACTAGAATTAAAGGCTGGCAAAGGCATCCTGTAGAAGACGGGGATTTTAGTTGGGACTTGAACAAAGACGTCAGGAGGTAGAGATGTGGAGGGAGAGCATTCCAAGCATGTAATGCTAGAAGGCATGGGGCACAGTCAGAAAAAAATCCCTGAGCAAAGAGATGGGAGTGAGTTTTTTATGGAACAGCAAGGAGTCTAGTGTAGCTGGATTGCAGACAGTAGTGGAGAGTAAGGGGTAAAAAGATTGGAAAGATAGGGTGGGGGTTAATTGTGGGATGGGGGGAGTGGTTAGATTATGAAGGGTTTAGAATGCCCAACAGAATTTAGACTTGATCCTTGAGTTTTAGGGAGCCACTGGAGTTTATTGAATTGGGGGGGGGGATGGTTGTATGGTTAGACCTACATTTTAGAAAATCTCTTTGGTGGCTGATTGGAAGATAGATTGGAGTGGGGAGAGACTTGAGGCAGGCAGACCTACCTACAGGCTATTGCAATAGTCCCAAGTGTGAGGTGATCAGGGCCTGTACCAGGGTGGTGGAAAGGTGAAATTGATAGACCTTAGCAACAGATTAGATGTGGGAATGAGAGATAGTGAGGAGGTGAGGGTGACACCTAGATTGTGAGTATGGCAGATTGAGAAGATGCCCTTGATAGTAAAAGGGAGGTTAGGAGGGGTTAGTTCAGTTTTGAACGTGTTAGGTTTAAGATGTTTGGATATCCAGTTGGTAATGTCTGAAAGGCAGTTGGAGATGCAAAGAGATCAGCAGAGAGATTAGGACAGGATAGCTAAATTTGAGAATCATCAGCATAAAGATGATAATTAAATCCATGAGAGCTGATCATATCAGTACGTAAAGAAGTCTAGAGGGAGAAGAGAAGAGGGCTCTGGCAGAATCCTGTGGGATACCTAGACTTAGAGGAAGTGACCCAGATGAGGATCCAGCAAAGGAGTCTGAGAAGGAGCAGTCTGATGGGTAGGAGAGAGAGGTCTGAAAAGCTAGAGATAAGAAAGCATTAAGGAGAAGAGGGTGATCAATAGTATCAAAAGCTGCAGAGAAGTCAAGAAAAATGAGGATTGAGAAAAGGCCGCTGGATTTGGCAATTAAGAGGTCATTGGTAACTTTAGAGGCAGCAATTTTAGTAGAATAATGAGTTCAGAAGCTGGTTTATAGGAGGTTGAGAAAGTGAAAGGAAAGTGGAGGCACTTACTGTAGATGGCCATCTTGAGGTGTTTAAGCACAAAGGGCAGAATAGCAATGATGGAAGGATCAAGAGAGGGTGATTTTCAGAATGGGGGAGATGGGCATTTTTGTAAGGTACTGTGGAAGGAGGCTGGAGATGGAGAGATTTGAAGATAAGCGAGAGTGGGGCTGACAGAGAGGTCAATCTTAAAGGAGACAGGATAGAAAGGGATCTTTTAGAAAGGTACAAGGGTTTGCCTTGGTAAGAAATAGATCCACCGCTCCTCAGGGGTGAAGATAGTGGCAGAAGAGATCTGAATGTGAAAGACAGAAGAATAGAGTGAATGGCCCAAATATTTTTGCAAAATATGAGGCAAGGTTCTTGGATGAGAGGGTGGGAGGAGGGGGAACCATGGGAAGTTTGAAGGGGAATATCCCTTTCTTTATTCATACCATTCTTTATGCCTAGAAAGCCCTTCTTCCTTTGTTGAGTTTCTCTGTTGGATTCCTTCCCATTCTTCAAAGGCCAATTCAGATGCCACTTCCTCTGCTATTCCTCCCACCCCTAACTGGTAACACTTCTTTCACACAGCACTTCATTTGGGACTTCTCTCCAATATACTGTGTATTAGTACTTTTTAGTCATTTTTGTTTGTGTCTTATTCCCATACTAGAATGTAAACTCCATGAGGCTAGAACTTTTTACCTACCCCAGACAGTAGCCCATTACTAAATGTTTTTGGAATTAAATTGGTACCAGATAATGGAGGGGCTTGAGTGCCAGGCTAAGGACACAGTATCATCTTCTACTCTTCTCTTTTCCACCAGTCTGGGGTAGAGGTGACTCTTCTTGCCAAGCCCAACTCTTCTAAAATGTGTTACCATCCCCTCTGTCTTCTCCAGCAAATTGTACCCTTAATAATCCCCATTTTTTTTCACTTTTCACTATCTGCTGGCTCCTTTCCAACTTCATTCATTCATGCCCATCTCCCCTATCCTTTTCTGTGTTCTTTGAGCACAACACTCCATTTCCCATTTCCATCTTCTCCTTTTCACTGGCTGTGTCTCATGCCTGGAATTCATTCCCTCCTCATTTCCAGCATGTAAACTCCCTATCTTTCTTTAAGACAAAGCTCAAGTACTGTCATTTGAATGTGAAACTAACTGATCCCTCCCCTCTCCCACCCCCCAACAGTTGCTAGTCCCCTCCCTTCCAACTGGCCTTGCATTTGACTACTTTGTATTTATTCTCTAACACACACATATATACATACATACATACATACATACACATGGATTTGTCTTCTTCATGCTGGGGCTGAATTCAGGAGGATTCATGTTTCTGAATTTAAATCTAGCCTCAGGCTGTGTCACCCTGGGCAAGTCACTTAACTATGTTTGCCTGTTTTTCATCTGTAAAATGAGCTGGAGAAGGAAATGGCAAACCACTCCAGTATCTCTGCCAAGAAAACCCCAAGTGGGGTCATGAAGAGTTGGAACAACTACAAATAAGTACCATAAGGCAAGAACTGTGTTTTATCTAAATTGCACATCTCCTGATACCTCAAGACTGCACACAGATACTTCATAAATATTTGAATGAGGGAGAGAGAAAGAAGAGATACATTGATAACAGAACTAAGGGGTAGAGGATGTCCATATTTACTGGGTGAATGCAGGAAGAAGAATTAATGAGGGCAAAAAAGAGCAGTCACATAGAATGAGAAGCAGGAGAGAGTAAGCTCCCTGCTATGGAAACTGATGGAGGAATATCTAGAATTGGGAATTGGAGGAAGCTAATTGAAGAAGAAATCAGCAACAACAAAAGCCTTTAATTTGATGGTAAAAAGATAACCAGTGACTTTCTAGAGGACAGTTTTAGTGGACCGGTAGGGATCCTGACCAGCTTATTAAAAACTGAGAAGTAGGTGATGGAATAGGGTCAGCAGACGTAAACTACTTTTTTTTTTTTTTTAAGGAGTTTGGCCATGAAGGGGAAGAAGAGATAAGATTATAGTTTCAGTGTCTGACAGGGTCGACTGAAGATTTTTTAAAGGCTAGGGAAACAATAATATTTCATAGGCATTGGGAAAGGAGCCCAGAGAGAGGGAGAGATGGCAAATGAAAGAGCAGGTGATCAATAGAGCATATATAGTCTTGGACTGGATAAAAGGCATTACAGACCATTAGGTTCATGTAGGTAAGGAAGGGAGCTACCTCTTCCTCTAAGACCAGGAGAACCTATGTCACTGGCATGGATATCACTGATGCTGGTGGGGCCAAGGTTTGGTGACCTGAATTTAATTCTAGGCACACCTTCCGCCAGCTTCCTCAAGAAGCTTTGTGTCCACCTGTTCTGTTTCAGGCTTGACTGATGAATACTGGCCACAGAAATCCTTTGCCTGGCTTTAGATGCTGGGTGGCTTATTCCTAGGGTCATTCAGCCAATAAGCTAGGCACTGTATGTTAAGTGCTAGGGATATAAAGAAAGGGAAAAACAGTCTCTTTCCTCAGGGAGCTCACATTCTAATGGAGTGTGGTACCCCACTGCCCATGTGGAGGTGATATATGGTAGTAAATGATTGGAGGTGGGATGCAGGAAAGGTGGGCCATTCTGGAACTGATGAGGATTAAAGATTCCTGTGTGGTCTAGAAGCATCGGAAAGGGGAATTTTTTAAGAGGATGGTAGAGAGTCTGTGGAAGGGCAACTGGTAGCAAGGTGTGAGTGCTAGAAGACTGACAGGCTGATTGAGCTGCTTAAGGGCAGGGAGAAGGGAGGGGATCCCTGTTCTTGCACCTGTTTTCATTGGTTCAAGTTTCCAACTTGTGAATCATATCTGTGTCCTCAGAGTGGAAATTCAATTGAATTTGTCCCCTGGGTACGAGTTTCCTGTGGGGGGAACAGGCTCCTTTTTATAGCTGTACCTGGTCCCAGGGATGATTTCATTTCTAATAGGTTTGCCCAGGATACCAGAGATGAATGGAAAAGGATAAGTGCCTGAGAGGGGCAGGAGGGAAGAGAGCATGAGTGCCAGATTAATTTTTTTCTATGGTTACTTTCTTTTGGCATGTTGTACCAAGTTTGCACCGCTGTTCACTGTGCAATGAAGTTCCTTTTATGACATTGCTCTGAGTTGGATTTATGACATAGTAGCCTAATAACTTCCCGTGTGATTTGGTATTCAATTCTAAGCATTTGTCAGATTGTAGGAAGGTGATATGATGCTGATTGGCTTTATGAGAATTTACCTTAAGATATCTATTTAATATATGTTCCCTGTAGTTTCCTGCATGACTTCAGCCAGTTTGCTTAACTGGAAGTTAGTTTCTTCATCTATAAAATAAAATGGTCGGAATAAATAACTCTTGAAGTCCCTTCCATCTCTAAATCTCTGTTCTTTTGATTCTAAAGAGAGGAAAGACACAGTTGTTTGTTAAAGAAAATGTTCATTGATGATGGGGACATGTTCTACCTATAGTCACTTCCCTGTTGGGGGTACGGGGGAGCTTGGGTTCCTGAATGTAAGTATAAGCCCCTGTTCTCTGCTGCTGGTTGAGATGGAACCTCATAATGGGTTTCTTTTCACAGCCTGAATCTCGACACCAAAAATGGACACATCCTTGTGGATTATTCCAAGAACCTCATCACAGAAGATGTGATGAAGATGCTTATTGAGCTGGTAATTTCACTTCAAAAGACTTGATTTTGGTCAATTCTGTGCATTATGTTTTGAGGATTAATGTTCTTAGTTTAGAAACTCCCACCCCAGATACAGATCAGTACCTCTCCATAATTTAGAATCTTAAGAGAGTTGCCTGAGGCAGAGAGGTTGAGTAGATTGTATATCTTCGGTCATATAGCTAGTATGTGCCAGAGGAAGGACCTGAAGCTATTTCTTTCTGACTTCAAGTCTGGCCCTCTAACCACCTATACCACTGTTTCTCTTGGGAGTTGATAATTATTTGTAAAAAATTTAACATAACTAGCAAGCAGAGGGCTGTTCTTCCTAAAATTCATTGTTTCCCCAGATTCCTTGTTTTCTTATAAGTAGTATTTGGCTATGTTTAATCTTTCCTGAATGAATCATGGACGAGGAGAGAGTTGCTTATTTCTCCAGGCCCCTCGGGACAGGGTTTTCATCTCCTGTTTCTCTGGTCTTTCTGAGCTCGTCATAGAGCTCTGAATCCAGTTGAAATTTTGGGAGATCTTGTTTAGTGACAAAGTGACCCATAGATCTAGCAGGGGTCGTGACTCATGGGAGGACAGGCCTTGGGCACCTTCAACAAATGAGTTTGCTTTCTGTCTTCTCAGGCTAAGTCTCGAGGGGTGGAAGATGCTCGGGAACAAATGTTCAAGGGGAAAAAGATCAATTTCACTGAGGTGAGTGTGGTTGTGGGCTGCTGACACTGCAGCTCAGGCTGAAGGTTTGACATTTCCTGCCTCTTGGTAATGACTTGGACCTTCCCATGCTTTTAAAATACTAAGCTTTGTGGCCACTTGGTGTGGATGACAACTTTTAGGCAGGCAGGCACTGTACCAGGTAAGCATAGCTAACTTTGTGCTTGAAGCAGTAGGGATCTTCCAGGGCCAGTTGTAGGATCATAAAAATGGGTGGTAGAATAGAGGAAAGAGCAGCAGCTCTGGAATCAGAGGACTTGAGTTTGAATATGATCTCTGGCACCTATTCCCTATGTGATCTTGGGAGAATCACTTCATCACTTAACTTTCCTGGACCTCCGTTACTTCACCTATAAAATAGATTTGAACATGGTAGCCTATAAGGTCCCTTCCAGCTCGAATTCTAGGGTCCTGTGATAAAGATTTAGAGGTAGAAGGGCCCTTAGAAAGTCATCTGGTCTGTGCACTCAGGAGGAAACTGAGACTTGGAAAGGGGAAGTGGATTGCCCAAGGTTGCAGAAAGTTAGTGTCAGAGTCCAGGGATTTAGAACCAAGTTCTGTTGATTCCCATTCCAGTGTTCTCGGTGGCCTTGTGTTGCCTCCCATCCTTTAGGGCATACTTGGTTTTTTGCCCTGTCACAGTGCGGTTTTGTTGAGTAATGTTACGTAATGCTCTTAGCAATACCAGTATGGTGGCAAATGTTTTGACATGCTCATTGCAAGACCTGTTCTATCAAAGACAACTGTTGTTGGTGTAGTGGCCTCTCACCCTTAGTTAGAAGGTTGCCATCGATGGGGGAAAAGACCAGAGCTCTTTGTTACAGGAGATAGTGCCTTTGCTGAAGCCACACCTTAGGTAGCAGAAATGTCTGAACTTCAGCATTTTAGGAGAAGCAGAATGCTATTTCAGGAGACATAATTACTCGAGTTCTTCCCTCCACCCGTTTCTCCCATGGAAATTTTCCTTATGAATTTAACTGTCAACTTCAAGGGTCCCCATGAGTTTATTTAGTAAGAAAGAGAATTTTGAATAAACTCTGGTACACTGTGAAAAAGTACTGTCCAGAGGTTAAAGAGTTTTGGTTTTGAACCCTTCCTATAAATGCTACTTGTTTGACTTTGGGCAAGTTATTTAGCCTTTTTGGGCAAGTTATTTAGCCTTTTTGGGCCTCAGTTTTCTCCTTTGTAAAATGAACCCATTAAGGTCCTTTCCAATTCTGGAGCTATGATCCTATGATCTTTTTTTCCTCACTTAGAATTAAGTTGGATTGACAGAATTTCTTTGGGGCTTGGTAATTCAATTCAACAAACAATTCTTTTTTATTTTTTCATAAATGGCATTTTATTTTTTCCAATTACATGTGAAGATAGTTTTCAACATTCATTTTTTATAAGATTTTGAGTTTCAAATTTTTTCTCCCTCCCTCTCTCTAATCCTCCCCCTCCACAAGATGGCAAGCAATCTGATATAGATTATACGTGTGCAATCATGTACATATTTCCACATTAGTCATGTTGTGAAAGAAGAAACAGAACAAAAGGGAAAAGCCACAAAAAAGCCCCCCAAAATAAAAAAAAACCGTGAAAATAGTATGCTTCAATCTGCATTCAGACTCCATAGTTCTTTCTCTGGATAGCATTTGCCATCATGAGTCTTTTGGAATTGTCTTGGATCATTGTATTGCTGAGAAGAGTTAAGTCAATCATAGCTGGTCATTGCAAAATATTGCTGTTACTGTGTACAATGTTCTCCTGTTTCTGCTCACTTCACATCACTTCATGTAAGTCTTCCAGGTTTTTCTGAAATCTGCCTGCTCATCATTTCTTATGAACAATAGTATTCCATTACATTCATATAGCACAACTTGTTCAGCCATTCTCCAGTTGATGGGCATCCCCTCAATTTCCAGTTCTTTGCCACCACAAAAAGAGCTGCTATGAATATTTTTGTACATGTAGGTCCTTTTCCCTTTTTTATGATCTCTTTGGGATACAGACCTAGAAGTGCTAATGCTGGATCAAAGGATATGCATAGTTTGATTGCTCTTTGGGTATGTCAACAAACAATTTTTTTTCTTTTTTTTTTGGTGAAGCAGTTGGGGTTAAGTGAATTCCCAGGGTCACACAGCTAGTAAGCGTTATGTAACTGAGGTCAGATTTGAACTCAGGTCCTTCTGACTCCAGGGCTGGTGCTCTAGCCAATGTGCTACCTAGCTGCCCCTCAACAAACAATTCTTAAAAACCTCTGTAAGGGGTGGGGGATACAGAGACAGAGCTGAAACAGTCTATGCTCTCAAGGAACTTACATTCTACTGGGGAGATAAAGCATTTACACAGATAACTGTACTCTGAGGTAATTTGAGGAAGGAACAGAATATTAATAATCAGGAAGATCGGGAGGAGGGGGTAGCATTTGAGTTGATTTTTTTTTTTTGTTTGGAGAGAGAGAATTTTGAGTTTGGGGGAAAGGTGGCATTCCCATTTAGCCATAACAGAGAGGTTATGAAGAAGAGTGATACTTTTTAAAGGCAGTAAAAGTAGGTTGGAGCCTAATTGTGAAATCATGCCTTAAATGGCAGATGGAGACATATGTATTTTATTTTAGCAGTCATAGGGAGCCATTGAAGATTATGAGTAGGGATTTGACATGATCAGACCTATGGCTTAGGAAGATTATTTTGGCAGCTTCATGGAGGATGGATAGGAATAGGAAAAGACTAGAAGCTTGAGGGAACAATTAAGGAGGCTTTTCTTATAAGAGTCTGGTCAACAGGTGATGAAGATCTGAGCTGGGATGGTGGTTCTAGGAGTGTGGGGAGCCAGGTTCCAGGAATGGGGAGGTAGAATTGAGGAAACAGGCAGGAAGATGGTAGCCTCATCCTTTCTATCTAGTCCCTGGGACTGGTATAAAATCTGGAGCACTTGTGAGTCAGTATCAGTGGACAATGACACCAAGAATAGAACTAAGCTTGCCTCGCAGGTGGTTTTTATGGGATCATTTGAGACTAGTAGGAGGAATAAATTCTCATCTGTCTTCTGGACTGATGATGGTTGTTGATTGACCTAAGCAAGGAAGACTTTCTGAGGAAGTAGATTTTTGAAGGTTTGGAAGAACTGGAATTATTGAGAGGGTCAGGGGCAGGGGCCAAGTTACTAGAGCATTAGGAAGAGCCACTCCCTGTGCCTTTGTTCCTACTGTTTCTCCCTGCCTGGAATGCCCTTTCTCTTTTCCACTTATACCTCTAACCTAACCATCGTTTAGCATCCAGCTCAAATATCACTCTGCCATAAAACCTTTCCTGATTATTCCAACTCATACCATTTCCTCCTGTGATAGAGTTTGCACTAGACTCTTACTACTGAGTTAGGAAGCCTTCAAATGATCAGATATTCGTTGGTCTTCCCCTTCCCTTAGTATCCAACTCTGAGATACTGGGGAAACATATCCCTGCCCCTAGGGAGCTCAGAGTTTACATTAACTTAGTTCCAGTCTGGCCCAGCATGCAAACCTTCGCTAAGTGCTCGTGAAAGTTGACTGCTGGCCTTACGCTTTAAAGGTATGTCTAGCATTTTTTTCATGGATAATCAATCCACTTTCTGGTTTCTGTTGTTTGTTTTGACATGCCTGTTGGGTCATGTAGGCAGTGCTTTCTGGAACAGGTTTAATCAGTCCCAGCTATTCTTACTTGGCTTTTACTTTAGTATTGATTTCAACTTGTGTGACCTGAGGAATCCAGATTTGTGTTACAATGTTACAATTAGACTTGGAAATCAGTGATGTGCTTTGGACCATTTTGGATGTTGTGTCAAATGTTTCACAGCCAGCATGTGCCCTATTTTGACTCTCTTCCTCTTTTTGTAGGACCGGGCTGTGCTCCATGTGGCACTTCGGAATCGCTCCAACACACCCATGCTAGTGGATGGCAAGGACGTGGTGCCAGAGGTGAACAAAGTGCTGGAGAAAATGAAGGCATTCTGCCAGGTACCAGCTGCACTGAACATATTGTATGTGTTATCAGGGAAGTGATTTCGTGTGTGTGTGTGTGTGTGTGTGTGTGTGTGTGTGTGTGTGTGTGTG